CCTGCTGGAGCCAGGCTCCCTGCCGCACTGTGGGCAGCTGTCTTACACAGGCCTCACTGTAGCCCTGGCTCCCTGCTGATCTTGTGGGCAGCTGGGTGATACAGGCCCCATTGGTGCCCCTGCTTCCCACTGATCCCATCGGGAGCTGGATCACACAGTCCTATCTGGAGACCCAGCTCCACACCTATCTTGTGGGCAGCTGGGTCACACCGGCCTCTCTGGTGCTCCAGCTCCCCACAGGTCCTGGGGCCAGCTGGATCGCACCGGTCCCTCTCAAGCCCTGGCTCCCCACCATTCTCGTGGGGTGCTGGGTTGCACAGGTCTGTCTGGTGTCCTGGCTCCCCTCCACTCTTGTGGGCAGCTGTGTTGCCCAGGCCCCTGTGGAGCCCCAGGTCCTGCCACTGGTGGCTGGGGAGTGCTGCTGCCCAGTGGGGCTCAGTTTCTGCTCAGCCTTTGCCATAGTTTTTGGGGATTGGGCTCAGCTGCTGGTCTGTACTTCTGTTGCCTGGGAATGGATGTCTGTTCCCCAGCCTGTGTTGCTGGGGGTATATCTTGACTCTGATCCTGCTGCTACTGTAGGGGATGGTGCTGGGCTCCTGGCTGTTTGCGATTTCTGCAGCAGGCACCTTGACAGCTCCACTACTGTGCACTGGTCTGTGTTGACACAGGGTGTCCAGTGGTCCGATGGTGCCAGGTGCACTGGTGGGCTCAGGTTGCTGGTCCCTAGCTGCTCCCACTGCCTCTTCCCAGGGAAGACCTGAGATCTTCCAAAATAGTCCTCCCTGTGGTACAGGGAAAAGTGCCCTGAAGAGCTGCTTACTGCAGTAGCTGGCTGTTCACATCCACAGCATAGGAACCTTCTGGTCCACGTCTCTGCGCTGCACGAGTTTGGTCGTCCACCTTTACATCCACTCATACTCTCTCCCACACTGGCTCACTCTCTCATGCACTCACCCTCCCTCAGGTCCGGCCAGCTGCCATCTTTTTCAAGTGAATTATATTTTAATAAAATAAAAGTGCCCTTCTTTTAAAGTAATCACACTACACCAGGATCATTTGTGTGAACAAATGTAATCACTGAATCACTTGTATGAGGCAAGGAAAGAGTCCTTACCCTCCAGAACGTCAACCCTAAAAACAAAGAGATAATTCTTCAAATTCCACATATTACGTTTAACATTTTCCATTGGATATTTATTGAGATTACCTTCTGAGAATATCTGTATGTGTAACATGTCACATATGTACCTTTTTTGTTGTTGTTAATCCTCATCTGAGGATATTTTTTCATTGATTTTTTTTTTTTTTTAGAGAGAGTGGAAGAGATAAAAAGAGGGAGGGAGAGAGGGAGAGAAAGAGAGAGAAACATTGATGTGAGAGAGACACATCGATTGGTTGTCTTTTGCATGACTGACCAGAGCTAGGGATTGAATCTGCAACCCAGGTACATGTCCTTGACTGAGAATTGAACCTGAGACCATTCAGTCCATTGACCGATGCTCTAACCACTGAATTACTTTGGCCGGGGCACATATGTACTTTTTAAAGGTAATAAATTTAGTTTCCAAATTATTTTTTATACCATCTTATTTGTCTTTAATTTGTTCATCAATGACTGATAAAGGCATATAAGATTCCCTATTACACTTATTTTCTACTGATTATTCTTACAACATTTAACTGTCTTTCTGCAATTTAATGCTGTATTATCATGTTCCTAGAAATTTATGGATGTTGTACATTTCTGGTAAATTTTACTTTTTATCAATAGAACAGGTCATTCTCAATCCCATTGTGTCTTGGAAACTGATTTTCTATATGTAATATAGCAACTTCTAATTTGTTTTTATTTGATCTTATTTAATCTATTTATTTAGTTATTTTACCTTTAAGTTTTCTGTGCCACTTCATTCTTGACTTATTTCTTTTTAGACCCTATATATTTAGATTTAAAAATTATACTCTCATTTTTTTACATTTTATTAAAAAAGTTAACCTTTTTAGCTGTTTAGCTAAATATTAGCTATCAGAATGAATATATTTAACCTTATTTATTTTATCATCTTATTTTTTTTCACATTTAACCATGCTTTTTCCTTAGTTTATATATTGTGCTATATAAATTGTGTTCTCTTTTACTTAACCTTTTCTAATAATTAGAACATCATTTTTTAAATTATTCTTTGTTTATTAAACATTACTACAATTTATAAGAACAATTTTCAATTTCCAGAGTAAAACAATATGTATTGATTCTTCCCTTTTTAGGGTAATATTATTAACACAGTTTAGCTGCTTCCTACCTCCTGGTTCTATTGCTACAATTTAAAATTTATCTTTTTGTGTGTGTGTGGGGGGGGGTTTCTCTACATTCTTATACCATCCCTTAAATATTTTTTAAATAACTTTGAATTCATAAAAAGTTACAAAAATAGTACAGAGAGTTCCTATATACCCTCTACCTAGCTCTTCTAATGAAAGTATCCTACATTACCGCAATACATTATCAAACCCAGGAAATTGACATTGGTACAATCTACATAGATTATTTATGTATAGGCTTTAATCCTTGACTTTAAATCTAGCTTTATTAATGTAACTCAAGTAAAATAGAAGTATTGTAGTTTTGTAAGTTCTTTTGTCCCACTTCTTGTACTCAAAAATTAACTTTTTTTTTTTTTTTTACATAGAAGTCTCATCTCCTCAACTAGATTACTATTTCTCTAGTATAAGAAACATGCTTGTGTATATCTTTTGCATTCTGTTTGATATCAGGATGGGCTATACTTTAATATTTTGTGAAGTAAACTGGAATGTTTGGTAATTGTCTCATTAGGTTGCTGAGAATAATAACCACTGTGTATAATTGATGCTGGTTGTTTCTGCGTCTGGTCAAATATCACTGAAACAGGAAATCTTTGATACAAAATGGAAATCATTGAGAAGGGCCTTAGATAAATTTGACTTGACCACAAATGATGGGGAATTTGTATAGTGCCACGTGGAGAGCGGCTTGTCTGTATGAATGGCTACCTCACGTTCAGTGTTTGAGAGCTCCTCACCGTCTGTCCCAGGCAGTCCTCTTCAGTGTCTTTTAAGAATAACTCCCTTAAACAATGGATGTGTGCCTGCCACTAAATTTAAATGGATATAGGGCAGTTCTTTATTTTTGGCAGCACCCAGTGGAAATTCCCCAGAAGAGCAATAAATAGGGTAAACTTAGTCTGGGATTGCCAATTGACCATGGTCTTGTTGCCTAGAGTGATCAGGAATTCAGAAAAGTGTCTTTAAAAAAGGTATGGTCAAGGATATCGTCTTCTCCATGCAAAGGAGAGGCACATTACAAAATAGAGGACCATTACAAAATGTTCATACTGCATTGTAAAACCGAGGGTGGCCACGTGGCAAGAGCATTGGATTAAAAGTCAGGAGACTTAGGCTGTCTTTCAGCTTTAACATTAATGGTTCATATAATTTTAGGTAAGACACACCTTCTCTGAGCAAGGGATATAAAATATAAAATGGAAGGGGATGTTAAAATTAACACCGTCTTTCCAAGTGGGTCTGAATATTGCCTACATCAGAATGTACATAGTGTGTTAAAATGCTTATTCCTGGTGACCTTGCCCCTTACCTACTCAGTCTGAATCCACAGAGCAAGAGCTTGTAATCTTCACTTAAAACAAGGGCCCAGGTGACTTTTATGTACAGTAAAGTGTAGGAATGACTAGATTAATTCACATGTAAGACTCCTTCTAGATTAGAATGCTATAATGCTAATAAACATTTATTTGCTAAGTGCTATAGATATTACTTAAAAGGCACAATTTGATCCTTGTACTAGTGATATTAGTTTGACTCATACATTTTGTCTTTTCAAATAACATCTTTGGGATTTTAGGGAGCACAGAAATTCTACATAATAGTGTCTTCATAGATTCTCCATGGTCTAGGTCTTTTCCTAATTATTTCCTAATTATTGTACAACCAGAAATTCTATCCAGTATTGTCTTTGACTTAGAATTTAAATTCTGGAAAAGCCATATGAAATAGTGTACCCCATAAAGAGGAGCTTTTCTAGAGACTAGATTTCTCATGTCCCCAAAAATAAATTTCTCTCCATTGAACAATCAGGATGGCCACTTTTGTCCTTCTGAAACTCAAGTGCCCATGTTACTTCCTTTTTAAAAAAAATATATATTTTATTGATATTTAGAGAGAGAGCAAGGGAGAAGAAGAAAGAGATAGAAACATTGATGTGAGAGAGAACCATCACTGTTGATCGGCTGCCTCCTGCACGCCGCCAACTGGTGATCAAGCCCAAAACCCTGGCATGTGCCCTGACTGGGAATCAAACCAGTGACCTCTTGGTGCATAGGTCGACACTCAACCACTGAGCCACACCAGCTGGGCCCCATGTACTTACTGTAACATCAAGGCCTTCTTCAGATGTGTTTAATACCACCTAATTGGTTAACAATCAAATTAATCTTTCTCCTTCTGTCCAGCAAACTGGTTTATCTCTTTCCAGTAAGTATTGATTCTCTTAGTCAAACACTCAGAGTCTTTAGATTATTTACCACAGTGCCAGAAGTCTCCTAAACAATATTTATGGAGTATAATTTAGAAATAAATTCTTTTAAGACTTGGGGTCATATAGATGCCAATCTGGGAGACATCCATGGATATTTATTTTTAAAACCATTTTATTTTTAAACAGTTTAATACAAAAAGTTTCAAAATCAGTACAGAGTTCCCACATACTCTTTGCCCAGCTTTCCCTAATGCTAATACCTTGTATAACCCCAGGACATTGTCAAACTCAAGAAATAGACATTGGCACAATACTATCAATTCAACTACAGATGTTATTTAATTTGTCAAGTTGGGGAGTTGTCGTGAATGATGAGAAAAGGGTGGGATGCAAGGTGAAATAAAATCAATTCCCTGGTATGTATCTCAACACTTTCCTAATATTAAGCTTTTATTTTATCTGCCAGGGATTGCAAATTTTTATCCTCCACACAGTCAGAACAAAAATCTTCCAGAACAAAGCTTCTGAAGTGTTGAAGTCGCTGTCGTCATCCACTGGGAGAATGACGTTTCGGAGGCCATCAGCATCCCTGGGGCTGCGGGTGAAGATGTATAACATGCTCAGATCCTGGCCAGCCCTAAATGAACGCTTTAGGCTGCTGGAGCCATTTGTCATGACCAAAGAAATGACACTCTCTGAAAGTGACCAAGAAAACGAAAGCATCTAGACAGTAAAACTGTTACCTTCTGGGGTCCTTTTGATGCAACTTGTGTGATTTTGCTTTTTCTACTTCTTTTCTTTTTTTTTCTTTTTTTTAATCCTCACCCGAGGACATTTTTCCATTTTTTGTTGAGAGAGAGAGAGAGAGAGAGAGAGAGAGAGAGAGGTGTCAATGTGAAAGGGACATATTGAGTGGCTGCCACCCGCATGACCAACCAGAGCCGGGGACAAACTGCAACCGAGGTACGTGCCCTTAGCGGGAACCGAACCCGGGTCTCTCTGGACCGCAGGCTGACACTTTAACTGCTGAGCCAAACCGGCCATGGCTCTACTTCTTTTCTTTATTATCCTGTCCTTCTGGAAAGTCTCCCTCAATATATTTTGCTCAAGGTTAACAATTAAGTTAAACCTATTGTTTATCATCAGGGATAGTGGATTTGATCGTTTTTCTATTATTCAACAGATTCTTATCTGAGTGAGGTTGAGTTCCACCCTGCATTCAAGGTAATTCAAGATTATCATTGCTCTTTATATCATAAAGTCTGTGACAAACTTTGAGAAACATGTAGAACATAAACACATTCTTTTATAATTTACTACAAAGGATATGAGCAGAAAAATTACCACCCAGAACAAAATGACTTCTAATGAACACTGCGAAGAGTTGCTTGTATGTATCATAATTTTGATCTGTGAATATTTAAAATTTGTATATGCTTGTCCATTTAAAAATTTTGCATCTATTTAGCCTCTTGAAAGGGAATTTCTTGTTTAAAAAAAAATCATGTTTTATGACCTGAGGGGTTGGCTGTATGAGAAATGGGCAGTGAGACACAGAAGGATTAGCTGGTTATTAAAGCCTCTGGATATTTCCTTCCACTTCTTGATGCCCTTTTATTGACAAAATGACACCGAAACTCACAAAATGAAAAAGTTAGTCACAGTCACTCCTTATGGCTTTTAAAAGATCTAACTAACTGCTCACGAAATTTCTAATACCTGAATTATGAATGATTTCCTAAATAAAAATATGACCTCCTCTGGGGTGGGGAGTACTCCCTCTAGAATTAGGAAACACAGTCTTTGAATTGCTGTGTTCTGTTTTATCAGAGTAGACAGCTGCTGTGACTACACTGCACGAAGGGACTAACAAGTGTCAGGTGAGCTGTGGCATACACTTCTCACCACAACCTAAAGTACATTTGTTTTTTTATAGAAATGGTTTAAACGACTGTTGGATTCTTAGGCCAGACAACAAGAGGCTGCTTCATCTGTAGGATAATTGAGACCTTAGAGGATGATGGGAAAAAGTAAAGGGAAAAGAATAAAGATGAAAAGCAGTTCTTAGAGGTCAGTGTTTTAGTGGTGGTATAGTGTGAGGTTTAGAAGGGGCTGGACACAAGGAAAATTATAAGATGTGGTTGACCTACTTTGTATCCTGAAATATACATTTAGAGGAGAATAAACCTCAAGTAAGAGCTATTTTAAATGTGGAAAAACAGAAAAATCACCAAAGAGCCACATTTAGTCTGAGGGTGGAGTACATGTGTTTCCTTGATTTTTTTTTTTTTGCACTTTTTCATCACATTTGGAACACAGCAACCAGAATTCTATATCATGTTCCTGGAATGATTGTACCATAAATGTGCAAGCTCCACATACTTATTGTGGAGGCTAAATCAGGCAGACATTGATATACCTACCCTGAAATCCTACCACGAGGGAACAATTCTATTGATTTAAGCCTTTACCTCATGCACTGGTCAGGAATCTTTTCATTTACTGATAAAAATCCAACTCAAATTAGGTTAAGGGTCAGAGAGAATTTAATGGCTCAATTAATGGTAAAGTCCAAAGGCCAAGTTGGTTTTAGGTAGGGTGACTGTATGTTCTGGTTTGCTTGAGCCAGTCTTAATCTGCGCCTGTTGTCTTGACCTAAGTATTACTAGCAGTCCCTTTTACTCTCAAAAGAGCCCTGGTTTTGGACATATAAAACATGATAATGTTAACTTTACATTTAGAGTTTAAATGCAAGGAGTTCAAAGAATGTGTGAAGATTCTTTTTATCTCCCTATTTTTTGGGCTTTTTGTGCCTCTGTGTTCGGTTTCATTCTCAAATCGGGTAGACATGGGTGGAAATTGGCCATTGGCATCTCCGTCCTTCTTCCTTGCAATCTCCTATCAGTGTCTCCCATTAGCTGTAGCCAACCAGAAGCCAGCGGAGCCAGAAACCTGTGGGGCTCAGTCCCCTGTAATATGGGACAAAGCAGGAGCAGGGAGAGGAAAAGACCTAAGGACTGGTACACCTTGCTTGGTTGTGTGCCCACAGGCATTGTGTTCAGGGAATGTTGGTCCAGCCTGGGTCACATACCTGCTGTGAGGTGGTGGAATGGAGGACGACTTGATCAATGGGATGTTCTAAAGGGGAGAATGGACAGTTACGCCAAAGATGGGCTGCTGGCAGCATCCACTACATCTCCTGACAAAATACAAGTACCCTCTGGGAAGACAACCACTTTCAGGCTCCTCAATATTTCTCTTACTCTGAATGAGCCTGTTAGATCCTTGTCTGAGCAGGGTTTGAATGGGGTGGGCAAGAAAAGTGAGAAATTATTTGTTCCCTGGGAAGTTGAGGAGCATGGACAGAAACTATAGAAATGGAAGAGTGACTTACTTAAAAAGAAAATTTCAGGAATGGAAGACAGACTACTTGCTGAACTGGTTTTCATGCCATTATATGGGACCAACTTCTGTGGTTCTGATTTGTGCTGTGTGATCATAGTGCCCTGTAGCCTTTTGACTGTGGCAGCACAAGCAGTTTCTTTGGGAACAAACCACCCTGACCTCTGGGTTTCCTTTCCTGGGCCTTAACCTACAGTTCAGAGCTCGCTAAACTGTTTAGCTACAGGAGTCTGATTCACTTTTTATCCAATTCTTCCCATTTTAAAGTTTATCTGCCTCTTTTTTTCTTTTCTTTTTTCTGTCATCTACAAAAAGATATTCTCAAGACCACTGCTATCAGTTGGTCATTGCCTCATCAGAAGAGCTTGGCATTCTTTGCAAACATTTGGGAAACCAGGCCAGAAGTGCTGGCTGGATTATACCAGCCTGTCAGCCACCGGAGCTCCCTGGCTCTGTGCAACCTCCTCAGTGTGACCCTGGGACTTTCAGTGCCTGGCTGCGCAGATGAAGCCCAGGAAGGCCACCAGGAATAGGTTCTACCCTGGGGGCAAAGGGCGCAGGGTGCAGATGGGGCAGGTTACATTTACATTTGTATTTTTAAAACACTGTGCTACTTCTCATTGTTCCTTTATGCTTTTTGTTTGATTATATAAGAACTTTACATAACTGTAATTATAGTAAATAAAATTTTATTCTGATTTTTTCTTAAAATTACCCAGTAATGTAGTCCTTATAATAATTAATGATTGCATAATATAGCATAGTTTACTAAGTTGCTTTATTATTGGGTATCCACATCATTTCCATTTTTTAAATATTATAGTGTCAAATAAATGAATCAGTATATATTTTTTATTAGTGTTATGAGCCCTTTACCTATTACATTTGGTGAAAATATTTGTAAGAAACTGCTAAACACTGTTCCAAAGTGGTTGTATTGTTCTATACTACCAATAGCAACTATAAACTTTGGAGTTAGTTTTTAAAGTTCTGATTTGTGAATAATTTCAAAAAGTAGAAATAGTTATAAATCCTTTTCACAAGATACTGATCATGTTTCTTAAAAATTCTACATAATGTTATTCTTTATTTTAACCCAAAAGAAGAAAAGAAAAAAAAAAGTGGAGTGGTACAAGCTAGTGCTGCTATGGCTTTCGAACTATATTTCCCAGGGAACCATAGTTCAATTTTTATCTTCTTCCAGTAGAGCTTTGTTACACGTGGAAGTATGACATTGATAATTTGCTGAACTTTGATACAAGCTGTTATGAAACCATGATATAACAGTTGAGACCTTCTGGACCTTTGCAATAACAAAAAAGATTATTTTTTCTGTCCACAATACATACCAGCAATTTCAGATTAGGAAGCATGCTGGACTGGATGGGGAGTTGTGGTCCCAACTACAAGTCATGTGACTTGAGGCAAGACATTGGCCTCTCTGGGCATAAGCCTGAGGCTCTACCTTTGTAAGGTGATGGAAAGGACTGGGTGAACTCTAAATTCCCTACTAGCCCTAAAATTGTGTGACTCTAAATGCAGGCTTAGATTATTTTTAAATGAACTTAATACTTTTCCCACCTAAGTATTACATGTGTATATTTTTTTAAAAGAGAAAATAAATTGAAAAGAGTGTGCCAAATAAAACCAAAGTTCCCTTTGACTTATTTCTACCAACCCAGCCCCCTCCTCACCTCTTCCTTTCCCTTCTTCCCACAGTTAACCACTGTAATAAGTTTGGTGTGTACCCTTCCAGGTTTTTAAGAAATAAGTATACACAGAATTATATCCCACAGAAATTCAGTCATGTGTGTGCTTTTTTTCTTCTCTTTTTGTAAATTAAAAAAAAATTGTTTATCCTCCTCTGAGGATATTTTTCCGTTGGTTTTCAGATGGAGTGTAAGGGAAAGAGAAGGGAGAGAGAGAGAGAGAGAGAGAGAGAGAGAGAGAGAGAGAGAGAGAAACATGGATGTGAGAGAGACACATCATTTGCTTGCCTCCCAAAGGACCTGGACCAGAGATTGAACCTGCAACCCAGGTATGTGCCCTTGACTGGGAATCGAACCTGTGACCCTTAGGTCTGCAGGCCGATGCTCTAACAACGGAGCCAAACTATCCAGGGCTTCTCTTTATTTTTTACATAAGTGATATTGAGAACTAGTTTAGTTGCCCCAAAACCACCCCCAAAATAATTCAGTAGAACTTAGAGGATTCAGCATAGCGTTGTATTCATGACTAAGATTAATTGCAGCAAAACAACATAAAACAAAATTAGCAAAGGGGTGAAGCCTGGAGGAAATCAGGCATAAGCTTCCAAAAGTTCTT